CCCAGACAGTTCATAGGAGAATCTTGCTCTGGTTCTACAAGAGCAACTCCCTTGGTCACTGGGAGCAGCAGTGTGAGCAGATTCAAAGGTGCAATTGTGAGACCTAGGAGAAAGCTGGATGCATCTGGCTCAGAAAGACCAGGCTAATTCTTCCCTTTTTCTGCAGCTTTCTGTCTTGTTCTTTGGGTCTACTGGAGACATGTTTATTGGGGTGATAATGAACTGCCAAAGCAGCAAGACAGCTGAGTAACCTAAATAAGAGTTTCTCACGCTCTAAGCTAAGTAGCAAAATGGGTTGAATTATGGAAGTTTAGAAGTGGAGTAATAATCATCGTATTGAGCAGCTGGTGTAAAGGAAGAGCTGGCACCCAGGCAGTAAACCTTACCTAAATATTACACATGATAGAAGTATATAGGTCAATTTATGAGAGTGAAGAGAGAGTTGCAGCCTTGTGGACTGTTTTTTTTTTTTTTTTTACAAAAACAAAAATAATCTATATTTAACTTGATACATTTCTCTGCCGCCTTCAGGACATAAGCATTGGTATCAGAGCAGGATGTGCGGGTGGGGAGATTTTTGCAGTCAGCAGTAATCAAAGTGTGAACTGCATAATCTGGGTAAATCCCCTACGAAAAAATCCAATCCCTAAAATAACATTTTTTAAAGCAGAAATAGAGCAGTTTGCAGGAGGTAGCAAGGAATGAACTAAGGTGATTAAAAGAAAAAAAAGGAGTCCACTGAGGCCACAGTTGATAAGAATAACTTTATCTGTAACCTCAACTTACCCAGCACAGAGGAGTGTTTAGAGCACACAGCAGCTCAAACTTAAATCTGAATCATTTAAAGTATTTCAGATTTTCCTGAATATGGATGACAAAGTGTCAAAGGATACATGGTAGCAGGCTTTATAAAAGCACTTAAGCAGAGAATATGTAGGATACCTAAAAAATTCATCATCCCTTGAAGGATAGTCTTAGAGTGGTTCTAAGATATTTAGGACAGTTATATTTAAGTATTTTTTATTAAGGATACAGAATTTCTGTACCATGCAAATATATAGTGGTGCCAGAAGTCTTGAAAGGAGCGTGCTCATATATTTGGTGTAAAACTGTATCACAATACAGCGTCAGCTTCCAGAAATGAGATACTTGTGTTAATGGGATATTCCAGCTCTCCTGAGGAGAACCCTTTGAGGAAGACTCTGTACTTTGTGTGTAGAGCTCTGCAGATATCCTCACATATTCCAGCTCTGCAGCCCACTTGGTCCTAGACAAGTGGTGTATTTCTACTTAAATAAATATAGACATATATACCTACATCCTACTCTACTGTAGAAAGGTCCTGAACCCTTTAAATGTCTGAGGCTTTCTTTAAAAGGGTTATAACCTGTTAGTCACCCAGATAGATAATGACAAATGATTTTTGTCTACAGTTCATGTTTTGAAAGAAACAATTTATTTTAAACAATTTTATTTAAAAATTAGTCAGGAAACCATGATCTTTCAAATTAAATTCAAATATACATAATCAGGTTACTCTCTCCTAAATGTATAATTAAATACAAATACAATTCTTAGACCATATGATTTTAGTTTATACATGTCAACCTGGCTATACATCCTTTAAACGTAGCATTCATATTCTGATTTTGGCTTGTAACACTCAACTATTTCTGTGTTTGCTACATGTGGGGCTTGGATTTAAAGTGAAAAAATAAAAATGAAGGATTAGATCTGTAGCAAGATTGGATACAAAAATATGTCAGCCTCTACCTTCCTCCCCAGCTCAACAATGAAGAGTTATCAGCTGATAGAAATATTGCAAAACAGAGCTAGTTAGCAGCTCCCACTGAAACCAGCTCCCATGTTTATATCAATGGCACCCAAATCTGACTGTGTTGACTTGTTTCCTTCCTCCTGCTCATTTTTTATTTTTTTCCCTGCTTAATAGGCCCACCATCAGTTTGAGCTCAACATGGAAAACTCCAAATGGCCGATCTAGCCTGCTAAATCCAGCTACAACATTCTCTATCACTATGGGCCAAAACCTGGGATTATTTTCTTACATCTGCATGTGTTGTATCAAATCTGTATTCTCAGTTGCTCCTTGTTTCTCTCTCTTTTACCTTGCCCCTGGCAGCAGCTTCCCATCAGACCTCCTGTGGTGCATCGCACCAAGTTTACACCAAATGAGGCGAAGTTGCCAAGCCCCCTATCTGTATATTTGATCAAATCGCTCCCCTCTTCATGCCCCTCTGAGAACTCATCTCTTATCTCATGAAGAAATCAAGCTGCCAGTCACTGTGTTCAAAGAATTTCTTAGCTCTCCCCCCACTACTCACCACCCTTGCTCAACCTCTTCTCCCCCCACATCCTCCCATCTCCAGCAGCCTCGCTCCCCTCAGAGCGCTGATGTCTCACCTCTCTGCTGTCCTGTACTCCTCGCTTTTTCTGCAGAGCTGCAATGTCATACCCTTGTATTTCTATTTATACTCAATTTTCTGATAAGACAACATGTGCATCTCTGCCAGCAGACTGCAACCCCCCTTGGCCAAGCTACAAAGACTTTTCATAAAGTCCTTAACACACTACAGTAAGTGTGAAGAAGAGACTAGAAAAAGTAACATAGTCCTAAATAAGTGTTATTAGCTAAAAATGCAATGCCGTTACAAACTGTCATTATAAATGCATCTGTATTGACACAAATCAAGTAAAATGCTTGTTGATCAAGATCAACAGCCTTTTTGGGGGAAAATTCATTGTTGCACAGTGAATCCATACAGTTTGTCCCTGTGTATGTTTTGGTTTATTAATTACAAGAAAGGATCTCTGAGCATAATTTAAATCAGCAAATTCTCAAGCATAAGGAAAGTTATGCGCACGCAAAAGTGGTCCTATATTTTGGAGGTCCAAGGTCTGGAATTTATCCAGCTACTGCGAACACAGGGCTAAATTTTGAAAACTCTCATCAAACTCTCCATTTTTCATACATGTGTACTGCAGTAGGCAAATGGGTTTGTAGAAGAATTGGGAAATTTGGCCTGGGCATTGATCCTAGTCTACAAATAGGTATGAAATTCCCCTTGACACCAGTGACGGTTTTTCAGGAGATCACAGACTTGTGTCATCTCACCACAAGAGTTCCTTGGTACTCAGTCACTCTGCCGAGAAACAAAGCCTCGCTTTAACAGAATTCTGCATGACAAATGTTTCAGTATACACTGCATTTTATCTTCAGCAAGACTACCAAGACTATCTATATTTATATTTATATGTTTGTCCTTGTTTCTGTCCCATGGTACTGCATTGTCTTAAGCAAATTCTCTTACAAATCTGTACATCGAGTGTTTTATTTAAATTGTATTTTTATGGAAAATGGAGTTTCTTAGTTAACATTGAACAAAATCAGTAGGGAAAGTTCGATGATCCCTGGAACATACTGCCTAAATAACATACCATGAAACAGAAAGGAAGGGATATGCCACTTCTTTTTTTTTGAGAAATAAACAATATATTCTATTGAGAATATTGTTTCCAAGTCTGTCTATGAACTGCGCTATCAAATCCAAGTCTTTGGGGTTTTTTGCAATTCTGATATTTGTTCAGAATTTTTTTTCCTCATAAGCTCTGTTTAAAATAATGAAATATTTTCTTTTGAACTTGCAAACAGCTATAAAAAGCAGCAATAGGGAGCTGCCTCCTTGTATTCTGGTACTACATTAAAATAGGGCCAAAACTCAGCACTGGTAAATTATTTACACTGGAACAATTTACAGAGATACCAAATTAATAAAAAATAATAAAAATACTTACTTTGCAGTTTCTGCACATTCCACCAGACTCCAAGCCTCAATACCATCAGCAACACAATTATACATCAATAATAAAAAAATATACAAAATACTAAGAATGAAAGAGAAGAGAAAAATGGATTGCATTTGCTTTAAAATAGAACAGTGCTGTTGTACTGACTGCATTAGATGCATACTAATTTTATTATAATTTTATATTTAGCCTGGTGCAAACTGCCCTGAGTGGTGCCCTGGAAGCCTGAGGAAACTAGTTGGATTTGGTTGGATGTTTAAGCTCAGTTCACTGCTGATGACATGGTCTTGATACCATCCACAGAGGGCACATTGTGCCTCTCCCTCCTGCAGCATCCAGCCACAGCCTCATCAGACTGCACCTGAAGCAGTCAGTAATCAGTAAAGAGTAATCAATGATAATTAATCAACTATTGGTTATTATACCTGTTTGTCTTCAGTTTAAATATCTATTATATATTTAACATTCCTTATAAAAGTTATTCCTTATACAAGTTATTGCTTATACAAGCATATTCTATGATTCTATAATTCTGAGTATCTCCTTGGATATAATTTCTTCGCTTGCATAGTAGGAACTTTCATGTTATCACAGAATCATAGAAATATTAAGGTTGGAAAGCACCTCCAAGATCATCGAGCCCAACCTTTGACCAAACATCACCTTGTCAGCTAAATCATTATATGGGGAACTTCCTCAAAATCCATTGTATGAAATCTCTTTGGCTCACAGGCAACTATTAAATACTGCAAATGGGAGGGTATCATTCCTTCACAAAATAAATATGGATGCATGACCTACTTCTAAGAGGACAGTGAGGACACTCATCCCATACATACATGTTTGGTGTGTGCATTTATAACTGTATTTACTAGATAAGCAAGTAGGAGACAGATGCTTAATCATGCCACACCCCTTTAATTAATCCTTAATCATTGATTCACACCTTCTGAATGTCCATCAAGTGTTATTTTTTCCACAACATTTACCCTAGGGTATATCTCAACTGTGCTGCTTTTATGACTTCACAGAGGATGTGGTTATGGTCTGGCAGAAAGGAAGCTTTGCTGTAGATGGGAAGATAAAGCTCAAAGCACCTACGCTGCCTTTTGAACAACTTTTTTTTTTTTTTTAATTAACTGTCTTCCTTCTTGTGTTTCTTTCTTAGACGGGCACACAGGGTAGACTTCTCATGTCCTGGGAGACAAACATTCTTGGCTCAGCCATGAATAACTGTGTGCTCCTGGAGGAACTGCTGATCAAAAAATCCCAGCAGAAGAGAAGGACTTCACCCTCCAACTTCAAAGTGCGCTTCTTTGTCTTAACCAAATCCAAGCTGGCTTACTACGAACAGCGCCACGGGGTACGTCCCTCATTTTCTCTCTCAGAGTAATGGAGGGAAGGATGAAATTTGTTAAAGGAAGGGAAGGATGGTAATGGGGGGAAGCATGATCGTCTCTTAGATTTTGTTAACTTTCCTGGTCCTTGCTACAGCACCATTCAGTGAAAATTGCCAAGTGATCAAATGGGTCATTTAGAGCTTCTGATCAGTCAGTATTTGGTGTGCGTGGAGGAATAAGACTACTTTGCTGTTTTATAGAAAGGATCTAGTTTTGTTTTAGGAATTTATATGGGCTGTTATTACCAATGTGTGTAAGAGCTGCATGAGCCTGTGCCTGGCAGTTCTCATGGGAACAGGGATGACCTGGAGAGGCATAATGAGAAGGTCACAAGTGTGCCCTGATTGCATCTGTGAAAAAAGTCATCCACAGATCTTCAGTCTCATTATTTTCTTCAGGGCATCAGACTAATGGCTGGTAGTAGGCAAGTCTTACATTTTAAAATAAATTCAGCTGCCGCGTGTAACATGTCTAGTCTTTGGAGTTAGCTTTGGAAAGGCTGTAATGATGAGATCCACGCTCAGAGTTTGTTTCCTCAAGTTTGCATTTCCCTGATTTGCTAAATACAAAGAAAATTAGAAGTCAGTCTGTGCACCCCATTGTGCTAAGTGTTCTGGTTAAGTGGGAATTATTTCCTTCTTCTATTTAGCTGGATGTTTACTGAGCCTCGTTAGGATTGTAAATAATATTGCTTGTTTTCCAACAGTCACTGAACATGCTGTTAATCCACTCTGTTTAGGAACTGTTACTGTAGGGCAGAGCAGAACTGGGGACTGTTCTGCCTTGGATCCAGCACTGGCAACTTCAAACCATCTAATCTTGCTCAGTTGCAGAAAATTAAGTAAAAACAGAACTCAATAAAAAATTATGATGTGCCCTCGTATTTTATCAGAACCTAGTTGGGGTTGGATACCAGCTTTAAAGGTTAACAGCCATTTTTACCTGCACACTGTTTCCCTCAAATAAGCCCAGTGAAATGTTTTTCTTGCTTTTATTTTATAGTCTGTGTTTCTCTTACCTCCGTTTTATATAGGACACTATTCATTGCTGCACACTGTGACTATATATGGTTTGAGACTATCTTTGTCCACTCTCCAAACTATTTTTCAAATGTCGGGGTTTTTTAAGATTTAAAATTCCATTATAAATATTCCACTTAATTATTCTGGGTTAAATTCTGAAAAGCATCTAGGTGATTCTGCTGTCGGTATTTAGAGAAATCTTCACAACTGGTTTTCTTTGGTGCTTTCTGATTCTTGGTGGACTTGAGATGAATTCTCCATACACTCTGCCTAGATACTTTTGTGGAATCACAGTAGGTGTCTGTCAGCATCTTTAGGCACTGAAATAGTTTGGAAAATCTGACTCTGTGGGGCACAGATTTCACACACTATATGAGTGTCTCTGGAAATTCTCCCTTCCAGTCTTTCGAAAGGTCAGTTAGGTGAGATGACGGTTTGGTGTATTATCCATTTTATGTTATATATTATGTATTTTAAACATGCACATATTATACATGTGTGGACATGTATATGTAAACACACATGTAACTTTAGAACCTCATGCACATTTGAGGGATGGTGGGTCTATTTGTAATCACAGGGCTGATTTTGCATTAAATGCTGATTTTTTTTCTGACACAAACTGTCAAAATCAGTTTGTTACATGAATAGAACTTCACATGAGAAAAGGGAGAAAAGAATTTGTCCTATGAAATAATCCCAGAACTGATCCTTAGCCTCTTCAGTAGTCTTCCCTAAAATTAGACCATCCCAATGAGACCCCTGTGTGGTCAGGTCATTGCTGTTCTGGAGAGGAAAGCTTAGGGCAGCCTGTGCAAGCACCATCTTATTTTGTGCTGAGAACGGCGTGAACCCACAGCACTTGAGGTCACTGCTAGTGCCAGGAAGATTCAGATCAGCCCTGCCCAGCACGTGGGCTGTGCCCATCCCCAGGAGTGTACCAGGGCCAGGGCCCATGTGCAGGTGTTCAAATCAATGATCTGTAGTGCTCGTTTTCAGGTGCAGGCCCTGGCACAGGTTTGACTCTGCTCCACGGGGACTCTCTCAGATGATTTATGGGGCTGGCAGGGGTCAGCACAGGCTGTCACCATTGCCAGCAGGCAGCTTGTGTATGGTCCTCTGCTCTGGAGGTTTAGGCAGAGTAGTAGGGACATCACTGTTCTCTGTCAGCAAACTGTCAGCTGCAGTGATGGAGAGGAACCTCAAGCATGTGGACTGATGGGGCCAGCAGGTGTCTGGGCTTTTAATGTATGTATTTTTCAAGGCAAATCTCTGTGGATGTTTGCTCTGAGAGTTCTCAATGAGTTTCTTTAAGAACCCCTTACCAGCCTATCCAGTGGATTACTGTACTCAAAGTTCAATACTGTACTGTACCCACCTCTCCAATCCCTGGTCAAAAGGTCAGGTAAAACAACTACTGAACTGCTTAACAGTTTGAGAAGTCCCATTGATTTCAGTTGGGTGACCTAAAGTACAGCATATGCTTATGCATTAAGCCCAGGTTTACATGTTCTGCCTATATTTAACAGGGTTTAGCAACCAGTCCCTTTCTCTGCATTTTGAAACTGTGGGTATAAAAAGACATTTAAGAGTTTATTGCAGCAGTCCAAAAAAAGGAAGTAAACAGGTGAAAAGGGTAGAGGGATAATTCTGCAAATGATACCAAAAGCTGTCAAGGCTACTGATGTCATAAAGGCAAATTTTTGCAATAATTATAATGGCATTTTTGTTGTAATTTTCATCTTTCTGCTGTAGCTGACAGAGAGCACTGTTCTCCTCAGGGGCCAAGCACACAGTCACCCTTAACATTAATGAAAGATATTTACATGTCTCATTAGGAGAATGAGCCCCCAATAACTGACAACAATAAGAAGCTGTGTTTTCTGGAATTCATTATGCACTGCACAATGCAGAGCTGTCTTAACATAAAGCAAAGCCCTGATAACAGGCACATGTATTCAGCCCCCGCCTCTACTAAAATTCATCAGAACTGCCTCTATTATAGCATGCAAATCAATTCCAAAGGCAAAAAATATTTGTTTCCAGGGCCTGGTTTTATAGCTACTGTTCATATGAGTAAACCACCACATGGGACTAATAATTTTAGCTATTCCAATGAGTTTGATCCTCACTAGAATAATGGATAATGCAGACACTGACACTCTTGAGGTCCTGGTACACTTGCCATACTGCAAAAGAAGCAGAGAAGTCAATCCCTTTGGAGAGTTGTCTAGGACAGACTTAGCAAAAGCACTTAAGCTGCTGAGTTCCCTGTATCCCATTCACCCAAACAGCCTGTGGTGTTTGGTAAACTCTTCAGGATAGCAGACATGAGAGTGAAGAGAGGTAGTTTAGTATTTCAGACACTAAGTAGAGGTTCTTCCATAGTGTTCAGCACGTCACATTTCTATCTGGATGAGGACAGTCAGCAACCAGCATCTCTCCCTGTGTTTCAAGCTGGCTTCTGAAGTCTAAAAGTGGCACAGATGTCTGAGGCTGATGCCACACTCAGTGAATAGGCCACTGTCTGCTGGGCTGGTACCACACCAGTACTCTGCCATTACATGATCTCTGCATCAGAGCTGCTCATCTTGGCACGGCTCAGACCTGCAGAGCGCTTGGGTCTGTCTGCATCAACTCTGGAGAAGTGCTCCATGTCCCTACACCACAGTTTTTCCTCTTCAAAAATGGGCATCTTGCCACATACAGGCATTCTGAGGAGTATTTCAGGGCTGGGAAAATTTCACCTAACACCTGGGAAAGTCAGGAACATAAATATTTTTAAGTTTTATATCTTCATGCACTTGTGGATTATTATTAGTCCAACTTTTAAAGGCAGCAGTGAAAGGTCCCCACAGAAAAGACCAAGTTCTCTTTTCATTTACATCACCACTATTCTTCCTACAGTGGTCAGATGCTCAGGAGGTCACATAGCATGAGTCAGCCTTGTCCTGGGCTCTTTCATTCACATCTTTGATACTCAGATATAAAGACGTCACTTTAGTGTGCCTTGAAATTTGCTCTCTCTTTTTCCAGGAGAACAAACGAATAAACTTGGCTGGTAAGCCTTTTATCAGCATCCCAAAAATTCCTCTGTTGCATTATCTACACCTTTGGTTGCTTGCAGCAGTCCAGCCACCCACAGGAAGAAAAGCCCCTCGTTATTCCTTGGTCCAACTGTCCCCATTACTTTGATTATTCTACACAGAATCCAACCTGTCCATCCTGCCCTCGAAAGACTTGTTTTTTTCCTTAAGACTCTAATGTAAACAGACTAAAACTTTTCTTCTGAAGATTTCCATTCTGGTCTTCTTGTCAGAGTGACCATTCATACCGTTTCTCACTGCTTTGTGTATTCAGAATACCTGAGCAGTCACAAAGCTACAGTCCTCATCTGAAGTGAATTTAATTATGGTTTAAAAGACTACCTTCCAAATAAATACATCTGACTAGATACATCATTCTTCATAACTTGTCATGTGTTTATTAACTAGTACTGTTTGATTGCCAGATTTTGCAATACCATTTGTCTTCTGATGCGTATCTCCAACTAATTTATTAACAATAGACATATCATGCACAAAGAAGTCAGGCTTGGCATCTGCCTGCAATGAATTTTTATGTTATAAAGTCAATACAACTCTAAATAAGAAGGAGACAAGGTACAAACCTGTGTCTAATGAATCCTAACAGAATCCTCTAGTAAATATCTGTAAATTTAAAATTAATTTTTTAATAACCCAAATGGTACTGTTGGTGCTGAGGAAGGATAAAGTTGATATTGTTTATCACAATCAGCCTCATTTCTATTGTGAAATCACAGAATCTTGGTAATACTGGTTGAAGAGCACTTCTTAAATTAATTTAGTTGGATTTCTTGCTCCGGGCCAGGATGAGATCAACACTCAGAGCGGGACTGTCGCCAACACCAGAACAAGGTG